TCCTAAAAAATCCTTAGTACATGAATATATTGTTTCTGATCTAACATTATTACGCAAAAATTGTAATATCCACAACTATTTTTTTATTCATTGTTAGTCGATAAAAATAATAATTATACTAATAAATTGTGTAAAATTTAAATCATTCTATGTTCATTACAATCTCAGAAAAATCCATTAATTATTGATAAGCAAAGACTAAAGTGAGACGCGAATCGACGGGTCATTCAAAATGAACACGAATGTAGTAGCTTTCTTGGAGTCTCTTCGAAGCAAATTACATATTCAATTCTGGAAAATTAAAGATTCCAGAATGGTTTAGTTCTCACGTTACATCTATTATAAAAGAATATGAAAATCCGTTGCTCGTGAATTATAGCGACGACCTGTCTTATCAGTAACCCGAGTCACCCCTGTTTTCCGGTAATTAACTATCAATTCGTTGGATCAGGAGTCCTGGTCTGGTTATATTTTCAACTCGCTCCGCAGTCGCAAATGGAAATTCATTCATTATTGACATTGCTTAATGGTGAATACCATAGAAACATTGACGATCATTAAATAAATCTAATAAATGAAAAGTATAGTAGTATATAGTAAATTAAATCTATAATAGATTTATATGTTTTAATAATTCACTGGAGAATGAACACACAGATTGTTGTATTATGTACTTTTTTTGTCCATTCAACTGCTTTGATCAGCCTTTGCACGTGCGCGTTAGTCACAATTGGCGTTGTAGAGCAAAGTTCAAATGTTTGAAGTTTTAATCTCCATTTAGAATAATTTTATTAATACACTAATATTACTGGCCGATACGCAGAGAACTTTAGGCTCTTTAGTTCTCATGATGCATCATTCACCATTTACATTTTAAACGACCAACATGCTGGCATCGTTAAATAAAGTAAATCCGTGTCGCGGATGGATTAAACACCGAATCATAATTGGTTTACAAAGCTGGTATGAATATACGATGAAGAATGTTTCGATTTTTATTAATGCGATTAAATGAACTTATTTGCATTCAAATGGACAAAAATATAAAATTTTGATTTAAAATTAAATCTAATTAAAATATTACTTAAAATTTAGTCTTAATAAATATTTTAATTTTTGAAAAAGGTTTGTTTGAAAAAAAGAACTGGTCGCCTAAAATATATATTCCATATTAGCGTTAATCGAATTAAATGTCATTACTTCACTGTAAAGATTTATTAGATTATTAATTTTCAATAACTTATACTTTGAAAATAGTAATTACTAATTAAGTATTTTGTCATGTAATCATATAACATGTAGCTACATTTAACCACCTCGATGAAGGTGTTAATGTAATGGAACAGTACCCAAAACAAATTTCTCAATGTTATGTTAATTAAATTCAGGAATATGTATATATATCTGCATTTCAACTCTTTGCTATTTAAAAAATTAAACGTATCTTATAATTTCTTCGTGCAGTATATTCCACCATATATGCGTATAAATGCGCATAATATATGAACCTCTCCAGCAAATCACCACAACTTTCACGAACGCGTCTTTTTCCACAAAGAGGGGACTAATGAACGGGGAGAATGAAGCGACCACCCTTCTTAACGCGCCGAAAAATCTTGATGATTTGTGGATCGCATCTGCATTTTAATTACTCCGAATAATTCCTCGCATAATCTTAATCTCGCGAACTTGTTGAAGTTACTCTTACTCCTTCGCTTCCCGATTTTCCTTTTTCACCCTCGATTCCAGCCTCGTAGCGGTCAATTTGACTAATCGTAATTACCTGAGAATTATTATGAGCACCGTCTTAGAATTCAGATGAATCGTGAATTCTTGCTTGAAATTATTTCAAGCTTCACCGTAACAAAGTTATAATCGTGTTTTAGTTGCAAACTGAAAATATTAAAATTTTTCATCGAATACGAATTAAATTTTGTTAATTAAAATCGAGCACTTACTGTCAAACTTATTTAAATTATTTAATAATCTTATTTATATCGTTTTTAATAATCCTTTTCGTTAGAAAGATAAAATTTTTATATTTTTAGATACATTATTTAGAATGTGAAAATAATGAAATACGCTATATATTTAAGTAATCAATCATTTTGACTTATTTATTTATTCAGAAAATGTTTTTAGTCCGGACCTCTTATTTAAGCGTTTCATAATAATCTGCTTATTTTATCAATCTTTTTTCTGCAATTATGATATTTAAAAATTTGCAGGACACAAGATAACGCGTATAATTAGCACAATAAACAGATTGATATTCCTTACATTATTTTCGTATTGCTGAAATTATAGAATATCACATTCCTGTGTCTAAGGAGATAGCACGATGCAGGAATTAAAGCATTGTTCAAATCAGCAATATAAATGGACTTCCATATTTTTTCTTACACTTAAACTCTTGCGGAGGGAACACACTTTTTTTTTACTAACCAGCTGCATTTATCACAGTCCGGAGGATGGATGAGTCTTGACGGCACAACCCTAGTGCCGTCACGTTATTTTTTCCCTTGACTGAATATTTGTCTCTATCCAACGAAGAAAGGGTTGGTAAGCGGATCGCGGCAGAAGGGTGTCAGTCGCTTATTAAAAAACCCCCTTTGGTCTTGAACACAGTTCGCCTTTGCCCCTTCCTCCTTTACGTGACAATGCGTAATCATTAAGATTCCCCCGTGGAAACCCGCGCTAAGTAGACGATAAAGTTGTGAATCCGTGAAACTTAAAATCCTCTGTTTTCACGGCTGAAAAGTCGCGCACTACTACGGCTTCGCCGTTTATTTCAGGATTCCTGTCACGTATCAAAATTCCTTCGCGTATTTTCATGTTTATATGGAAATATGAATTTAATGGTAAATTAATGATTAGTTTATTTTTAATATTTGTAATGTTCGATAAGATCATACTGTTACTACAGAATTGTGATAATAGGGTAATGTGATTTTCATGATTTATACAGTCTTTTTCAATAGATTTTTTGAATAGATAGAACTACGGAATTTTGCAAGAATTAATTTATTTCATCATTTTCATTATTAGACTGTATTTAACTTTGAATATCTTGTTTGTAATATTTTCTGTAGAGTAACTATGTATGGTTATAGTTTTAAATTCGTTTTAGATTCAATGTTTTCAAATTGTGCGGTTTCTTTCAGACAAAGATCTGTTCGTTCACCCACGAGATTTAATGTTCTTCTTTCCCACCGAAAACAGATATGAACTCCCAACTGTTCAGACACCGCAAATATACAAGTATGATTTTCTAGCACGCAAGGACTATCTGAAACGCGAGTACGAGCCTCATTTACACCGTCGTAAGGTAGAATTCACTTTAGGAAACAATTTTACTGTCTATCCTCCTTATGAGTTAGCAGAGCGTTCTTTTATTTCCAGAAATAAACGCGAATTATGGATTCTGTATTTTCACGGTACCATGAACGGCTTGTTGTGAGAAATAAGGTTGAAACTTTCCTAGTATATTACTTTTAAAACTAAACGTGATTCTGTCTACCATACGTTTTTCAATCTTTGGAAGAATTTGATCGTTTATGCCGTTTATTTCCAGATTTTATATAACATGTATAGTATATTCTACATGTATACTACAATTTAATATTACTTGAAGATCATTTAAATTGTGAGTAAACTTGCATTTGTCATTGTTACCTAGTACTCGTAGTTATAAAACGATTATCAAATAAATCACCAAACTAATTTCGTTAAAATCATCATTAACTAACATTACCATTTTACATGAAAACCGAATAAGTACAGCTTTATACATCATTACACTCCAAATTTGTATTCTCTTACGTCTCACAAATGTCTCCAAGAACAAAATCAAAATAGTCTCCAAATGTATCCAAAGACAAAACCAAAACTATCTTTTCATTAACACTATCACTCAACATAAAAAATACAATTCTATCATATCACAATGATTCCACTTTCTAATTCAGAATTTCTCAAATTAATAACGTAAATTCTCAGTCTGTCTGCAACAAGAGCAGACCATCAAACCACGCGAATCCTCGTCAAAAACGAGACGCCGTTTCCTGACGTTCCGGTATCAGTCATTCGTTCGCATTCATTTCGTGGCTATCGTGACAAAGTGCTCCAGCCGTTCTTAATTGGATTAAGAAACTGGAAATTCCAATTGCATTTGGTATGCCGACCGCGGAGGACAGTCGGTTGGACGACAGCCTAATTCCCGGAGACCGAATACACGGCGATAGAACGGGGAGAGAGATCGAGTTGAACGAATGATGTTTGTCGAAATCAAGCAATCAGCCCTACCGAGTCAAGCAAGAGATTATTTCTGGCAACTGCTCGCAAAGATTGACCCTTCCACTCTATCTCTGGTCACCTACACGTGTGTTCCATCTTTCTCTCTCTCTCCTTCTGTCCCTCCCTCCCTTCCCCTCGCCGCGAATCGGAACTCTGGACCAAAGGAGAGCCACGAGCCGCTTCGCTCCACTGAGTTACCCAACAGTTTGTGTCGCTGATGGAATAATAGTCCATTTGGGATGCACGTGCTGTCGCAGTATCCTCCTAAATCCGTCGCGCCGCAGTTCTCCCCGCACGTATTTACATGTTTCGAACAATTAATATTTATGCCTGGCCGCGTTGTTTCCTCCGCACACTCATTCTCGAGTGCCCTTTCAGGGTCGGGTATTCTGACCTTCGTGGCGGAATTTCACACCACGGTGAATCCGTTTTCAAAAATAACGTCGGAGATTAGATTCTTTTTTGATCTTGATTCAGGAGAAGGTGGGAAAGGTGAATTTCATTTTGAATGTACGGCAGGAGCTCGATCAAATGAGTCACTATTTATCACGATTTAGAACGTTCAATTTCGGGTGTCAATAAATTAAATACTTTTCAATAAAAAATATACAAAAAAGTTTTAATCAAAAATTCTGTATACAATCGAATTTTATTGATATGTTTTGAAAATTTTCTTGTTGCATTTTCATTTATTTGGACTGTCAAACAATTAAATCTAAAAGCGGAGGTTCTACCTATTTTGAGTATGTATATGTGTTTGTATTTTTCGTTGAGGTCACTCGATATGGTGTTATGACTCGTTGAAGTCAAATAGGACTTAATTCTTTGTGAGAAAGGATTTTTGATAACCTAATTAAAAAAAAGAGCAAATGTTTTTTTAATATTTCGATGTTGATGATTTAATATTATATGTAGAACAATATTCTTTTGATTTCTTACTATGAAATTACCATAAGTCAGTTATCTTAGTTTCTATTTGTTCTTAATATCCGATAGTATAGTTTGTCATCTCCTATAACAAAATTTGAGATTTGTTGTATAGTAAAACATATCACATGAACATTGAAATACAATATATATTTAAATTGCAATAACAAATCCTCAAGAAAGTTTAACATTTTGTACTTCGCGACCATTCTAATAAAATTTTAATGCGATGTAAAAGGACATTTATGATGAAAATTACCTTATGAAACCTTTTATGAGGCACATCACTGGTTTCCATTTTATATAATAGACATTAAAAATTTAGATCGTGCACTATACAACACGATAAAAAAATTAAATCGATCCATTACTTGCCAACTATTTCTTGTGGAATATATGGTCTTTTCCCGTAGTTTTCGTTATCGTAATGTAATGTATCCCCAGAGTTTACGATACATTATGTTTTTGACGTGGACTCTCACGAGATAATCTAAAGCCACACTGTCCAGGGTTGAAAACCCCGACACGCTTCGCTCTGCCTTCATTCATCATTGCTAACGTGAGACAGCGGTAACAGTAGAAGACAGAGACCTGAGATTCTCGCGTTTGCCATAGATTGCAATAGATGCCACCATGCTTAGCGTCTTGGTTTCCTTGACAACAAAAGCAGGGCAGGGGAAGCTCGTTTTAACCGCAAGTAAAGCTTGGACAGCTCCTGCTTAAAGGACAAACATCGGTTAAGTGAAATTGTTACGTAATTGGACCATTTGGTTTAATTCATCGTTGGATACTTTCCTGAAAACAACGTTTAAAAATATTCATTATGGATGTTCGAAGGTATCTGCAATAAAAATACAAAATTTATTTTTTGAGAATAAGTTTATCACGTAATAATAAATATTATTTGAAATTATCACTATTATTATTATTGTAGTTGTAGTTTTTACTTGTTAAACTTGTTCTGGAAAATGAAATTTTGTATCTTCATTGCGGGCATCTTTTATATACCTTTTCCAGAGCCACTATTCAACGAACGATGCTTAATAAATAGATTGCCGATTCCATAAAGTCACAGAACTCATAAACGTAAAAAGCACAATAAAATAAGAAATTTCAATGAAATTGAAAATAATTCTTATACCACCACTACGACAATAAAACTTCTAACAAAGGACACAGAAATGAAAACGTGAATATAAAAATTTATATTTTCATAAAAATCCGCGTTCCGTTAATAAATCGCGGCGCCACGTGCATCTCTATTGTATTCCCTTGTCTCGCTCACATAAATGCTCTGAATTAAGAAAAAAAGGAAATATAATATAAGACTGAACCTTCCTGTTTCAGTTTAGTCAATAGAAGGTATTCGAGAGCGACAGGTCATGAGGTTATAAGAATTTTACATTTACATATCGTTATATTCTTATAAAAGGCATAAGAATTTTATATTTAATAAAATATTAGAAACATGTATATAAATTACAATGAATAAATCATTATATATATTATCATTATATACATTTAAATAATATTTCATTAAACATAAAATTCTTATAACTTCTACAAGAATATAACTACACAATTTATAACTATACATATGATAGAAAACTAGACCGCACGAACTCATAGCGAAACCGAATAACAAACACGATACGAGATTTCGAAACGTTGCGCGATCACGAATCACCGGTGCCATAATGCAGATTCCGCGCGACAGGACCGAAATCTCCATATTGAAAGAACGTGGCGCAAGATTGAATCTAACGTAAGAGCCTGGATGGGCGTCCGTACACGATCCGGTGGCTGTAAATACTTCAGCTCTGACGCACGCAATATTAAACGTGCAAAAGCTGTACGCGTGGGGGTGCATCATCCCAACACTCAACGCGCGCGCGTGGCCATCCGCGCCTACGCGGGTCGAGGGACTTAGGCGAAAGATTTATGAGCTCTACCTTCGCGAACGAAAGGCATGAACGTTTACGGGGCTGTACGGGAAATCATTTACTCGAGCATCGATTTCCTTGTGTCCGACGCACTCTCCGCTCGTTCGGGACTTTAACGATTCATTTGCAATACGCGTTACTTCGGTCACCTCTATAGGCCATCCTGTGTTCCGAGGGGCGAAACAAACTGCCGCATTCGCACGCACGCACGGGGTGTCCAGTAATTCTTGTCAGGAATTGGGTTGATGTGATTCTGTGGTTAGAAGTGTGACGAGTGTTGTGCAAGATACTAATTAAAATATTCGAATTTGAAGTATTTTTAGATGTATTTTATTTTACAAAGAGTTCTGGTAATGTTTACAAGGTTTTCTTGTAAATAGTGGTACGTTCGCAGTATAATGGACTTAGGTGTTAGGTGTCAGTCACTTGGGTTAGTGTTTATTTAATATTACAACACATTATTAGTATTTTGTTATTGTTATTATTGTTATTAGTATTAATATTTTATTTCTTAAAAAACAAAAGCAGTCCGTTCTCTATTCTAGGGTTAAGAATGGTGTACTTGCGTTGGAGATTTCGTTTTTGGAAAAAATGCATTCTTAATATAATTTGAATATAATTAAAGCTACGGAAGAACCTTGACTATACGATTTAGTTGGATAATTAACAGTCCAAATATATAAAAACTCAAAAAGAAATTTTTTGAAGTATGTTTGCTTTAATCGTACATATCTTGAGGTATAATACAAGGATCCAAATTATTGAGTTTGTGGATAACCAAAACTCTGAATGGTCTACATCGCGAAAAATAGTGACTCGGTTAAGAACGTTGGGAATTGTTTGAAAAAGGACCACGCTTTAAAAGATTATGAAAATTAGATCATATAGTAATAGTAATAAATAAGATAAATATACAACGTTGAATTCTATCGCTGTAAATTACTTTAATCCATTTCCCTAAAGATAAATCCGAGTTTAGACCCAACAACATTGAAAATAAATCGAGTGCAAGGGGTTAATTTTCGTCATACTTCAAACCAGAAAATCACGTTGATCCAATTTAATGCACCATGCCTCACAGGATACCCTGTATGCACAGATATACACGTAGTTAACGTAAGTTCGTTGGTGGCCGTTGCGCGCGGGAACACGAGCGCGCCAGGTTATTAGAGGAACAGCACAGTTTTTACTTCTTCTCCGTTGATTCCACCGTGCTTGACTTCCGTGACCCGTTATGCAGAACGGACTCGTGCGCGGAGATTTACGGACGCGGCCAGGGACAAGCTGCAGAGATTACTTTGCTTTTTTAGATGGCCACTTTCGGGGTGAATTATCGCTCGTCCCGGCGTAGCGATTACGTTTTAAATTCCTTGTCGGAGTTCCGAGCGATTGGAAACTCAGCGCGGTACCAACGAACTTATTCCTGTGTCCCACTTCTGTGGAATCGTGATCCTTTTTCCCTCTTTCTCGACGCGGCAACAAATTTTCACGGGGATTCGCAATCGCGTTGACGATCTTGTTAATGCGTCAGGTGTGTGATGCGCTCGTGCTTGTACGCGTTTTGTTATTCCTAGGGAGCATTTTTTAGTTGTGCACATAACGAATGTGCGTGGGAAAGGAAAATCGAGTTACGCAGCGTTGCCGTGTAGTACTTGGTTAATTTACATGATGTTGTATGTTTGTACTTAAAAGATGTATGCTAAATTGATGGAAGTGTTTGGACTCGGTTTAATAACAATGTACCGAGTTGAGGGAGAAAAAAATTTAGACACAATCGAAGGAATTTGTGAGAACTAAGAATTTAATGAAATTTCACATTCATCTATGTTTGTTTTGGTAAATTGAAAATAGACTGAAATAGAGAATAAATGTCTTTAATCTGGTTATTATTATTTAATATTTTCTAACAAAATTCTAAAAAAAGTAATATTATATCGTACTATATCATATAATATCAATATGATCTTCCGTTTATTCTTCATATACGGTTAAATACATATAACATAATTGACAAAAAATATTATACGTTTACTACTATAGTGTCATAAACCAGTTTCAAATACTAACTACAATCGTAATTGCTATTTTATAACAGCCATGATTTAGTCTAAACAAAGCAACGTCAGTTGCAGTGAATAATTAAAACCTTAAAGAAACTGAAGAATGTCAGTTAGAAGTTTATCTAAATTTTAAGAAATCGACACTTTTAATCTCCATACCGTTAAAGTGTCTGCGAGTTTGCGCAATTTATTATTTGGCATTACCCAAACGTTATCAGGATCAACGTACGAACGTGTAATTACGAGTATCGTCGACGTTCCGTCGCGAAGCTCAGCGTTTCTTTTTTATCCTTTTGATACAGAGAACACATCGTTATACGCCCATCACTCGCTTCATTAATTCGTACTAACGATTTAGTTCGCTTCTTCCGAGTGTTAAGAGTCTCGCTCGCCCCACTTCTAATTACTCATTCGTTAGTGCGTATATTTCAACCGGCAGGAACAAATTATGTACAAATAGTGCGCTATTTACACCGATATCTTTGCTCTGATATCCATAAAGTCTCTTTTATCAGCGCACTATCATGTTTTTCGTGGCTCATGCGTCAGTATGTGGTGCGCGTTCAGTTACCGTGGTTAAAACGACAAATTCTATTTACCTGCTACGCGGTAACTGTTATCGTCGTGGTAAATATCCATTAATTGAAACTGCGTTGCGTAAATCGCAAACAATTTAATTCTACTACGACGACGATATATTAATATCGGCTGCGCGGAATAAAGAAACGAATGATTTGTGAACGGTTTCGCGTCTTCGTGACACGATTTTTATTATCTCGGTTGCGAACGGAAATTCTCGAACTATTTATCAATTTTTATCGATTTGCAGAATAAAGGGAATAGCTTGATATATTGGAATTATGAACATCCGAACAAATAACTTTTCAATGCTTTGTACATTTATTTGAAATTGCTTCTTGTATAAATTACTTTTATAACGTCATATAATTTATTTTTCCTTTAGAACAAATGTTACTTTGTTTAAACCGTAATGATTAATTTCTGTTTTATTTGTATTCATATAAATTAATTAAAAATGGTAATTACACACTTTTTGAGGATATTATTTATATAGGAGTATGTACACTTTAAAAATCGTTCCATTAACAGAAGAAAGTATCATATTTTTACTGGTAAAATGAACATACTTCGACATTGAAGTACATACAGCAATTCATACATTTATGAAAATAAATATAAAAATCTGTACAAAAATAAAAGGCAATTTCTTCAAATTTATTCCACTTAACAGTTAATCAAATATCGACGCGACTCGCTTCTTATAGTTATGGAATGTGCACTCATTCGTATGCATTAACCCATAATGAGTGTTCTTGTCGGGTTTAATCGCGGAGGTGAATAATAGCAAAACATTAAGTGATATAATGCGGCGAATAAATAACGGTTTGTCGATAGCAAATTTTGGCTGACTTTATAGTCGATAGTAATTTAGAATTCTGCGGTAATATTTTAAATGTTCTGTGTCTGACTGTAGAGGTTAGTCCGTATGGGATATCCCAATACAAGAAGAATAATCAGCTCGTTCTGTGCCACTGCTGGCATAAAGTTATACGTTGTTGGCAAGATAACGTAGCAATGGAGTGTTTATTTAACCCCGTAACGCGATTTAGATCGTGATCAGTCGATAAATCTTAGATCACGTATCACAACAGAGAATCTATATGACTTTCGTATTTCGATTTTCTTATATCTGTTTCATATCAGTCCATTTAGAACTAGTATAAACAGCCTTTCGTTCTTCATAATCTTTTTGGAAGAAAATATTCTGTTCAACGAAAAAATAAATTTTGTTTAACCTTTAAGTATAGAAATTTGAAAGTTAATGATTGATGTTAAATGTTCTCGTTTATAGTGATTAATAAACAAATTCATTGTATTTATTTACTTTTACTTATTTAAATATCCCGACATAGCAATAGTATCAACTATATAACGAAAATTTCATCGGTTTCGAAATTCACGATATTTTATATAGAGGTCTATGAGATCATACGCCCATACTTACAGGTTAAAGCAAATGAAATATCTTCGTTGAACAGAACATTTTCTTCTAAAAGATTATGAAGGATGAAATGCTGTTTATACTAATTCTAATATAATATTATTAAATATATTTTATAGTTTCTTTTATTGTTTATGATACAAGAGTAAGTTTGACTAGAATTTGTGACTTCAAGAAAATAATATTATTTTATGACTTATAAATAGAGTAATAAGATTTCTAGGCACTAGCGTTGTGTGAACTATTTGCTTTTCATTTTATTACATGTGCTTCGTTAAACGTTTGTAGAATAATATTTTCCTTCTTCGATAATAGTGGGACTTCATCTCATAAGTTTCGCTGCTCGTGTATTACGTATATTTGTATCGAATATTTGGCACGTACAGTTATCAAGATACGTTGTATTTCAATTATCTGTAACAAAACCTATGAAATAAAGATTTTGGTGTAACGATACGGAAGGTATTTAATCTATACACTCGAACTATGTACTTCACGTGAGTCCTATTTAGATAATTGTATGATGCATATCAACTATTTATTTTTCAATTTGTTAAGATTTTGTAGAATTAAGTTTATAATAAGTAACGTAATAGTTAGGAAATATAGTTTGTTCAATTTGTTAAGATTCTGTAGAGTGAATTTCATAATAATTAACGCAATTTTTATTTTCAAAGTGATAATTAGCTGTATTCTTTAAAGCAAGTTATTCTTTAGTATAACTTCTACTT